CAATAAAGATATATATATATTTTTTTTTAATTGCCAAAGCTCCAGAGTTGCCCTTGAGGTTGAGAATCCTGATGGCTCCTGCCCATTGTTCATTCATTCATCCCCCAAATATTTGTTGAGTACCTTCCTTGGGCCAAGCCCTGGACAAGGGTTGGGTCTGCATTGGTGACCAACAGCAATGCAGTCCTTGCTTTCATTTGTGCTTTAGACAAGAAACAATAGTTAAAAAAATAGCTACCACTGTGCTGGGTGTACCAAGGTGGTGGTGTGTCTTTCTAACACCACTTGTGACACCAAATATGTGGTTTTCCATACCAACAACCAATTCTCCAATTCTCAGACACCAAATGGGTGTCAAACAATTCAATTCAACTTGATTCAATTCTGACACCAGCTCGGGACTAATGCAGACCCTACAGGTTTAGGGCTCACTCCCACAAGACTGCCCCCACTTCAGACACCAATTGCAAATCCTGCAGTCACCCATACTTCTGACCCTCTACTTCAGGCTTGGTTTTTCTGGCACCCTGCCCCCTTCCTGAAGGGGTCCCCAGCCATAAATACAAAAGGCAATCTTATCACTTAGGAGCTTTGTGCCAGGAACTAGTATTAAGACCAGATGTATAGGGTGTCTCAAAAATATGTGTACACACTTTGAATAATTATAAAGGCAGTGTCTATTAAAATACATTTCATTTTCATTTAACAGCTATCAGTTACATTTCTTTGGGTCACATTGTATATATTTTATGTATATATTTTATTATACCACAAGGGGCAAGAAAGCAGGTCATGAGCTTCTAATTCAGACTAGAATAACTTCCCGAGAGAGGGATCATTTGTGGTGAGATGAAAAGATAAAGAGGAGCTGGACAGATAAGCAGGAGGGGCTGGGGAACAGCAGGAGCAGTAAGAGAGGGCAAGAAGGTTTTCAGTTCAAAAAAGTTATAAATTCATTAGAAGTGGTTGTGAGTATCCTGTCTGGGTTTTTCTGCTCATTCCTGCTGTGATTATCTGTCTCCCAGCAGCCCCAAATCCCAGTCTGGAAGCTTCCCAAAGGCAGGGCACTAGTCCAGTTCAGTTTAGTTTCGTTTTGCTTAGATCATTGTGAACACTCAAAAATATGTACTGGTCAGTAAACAAATCGATGTATCCTGTATAACCTAGGGACTCACACCCTGTCCATAAACATCTCACCAGCAGGCTTCCCCGAATCAGAAATTCCACCATCAAACATCAATCTTGGGAATTAAGAAATTCTCTTATGGGGAACCAAGAAAGCTATAATAATCTCAAATTATAAACGCCCAGGGCTTTACAGCTTACCAAGAGCTTTCCTTTACACCCTGTAAGTCACAGACAAGGGAAGGGACGCTTGGAGAAAAGGTGAAGTAACTGTCACACCTCGGAATTTGAACCCAGGTCTCTGGG